ATACTTGGTTTTTATTTTGGAGAACTTACATTTTTGACATCGGCTAACGGCTGACTAAACCAATCATGGGTCTGGCTAAACCAGCCCAACAGCGATGTTGGTGTAACCAGCAGCGCTGTCTGGATTGGGTAGCTGAAAACCATAGTTTGGCGTTAAGTCTTCCAACATCGATGTTGGATGTTAGATATCGCTGTTGAGCCAAGGTTGGATTTCCAGAAACTTCTGGAACAGCGATGTAGGCTTCCCTACAGCGCTGTCCAACCTAAGACAAAGATATTGTGCATTGGCAGAAAGTTTTTGGACAGCGATGTTGACGCAGAAACAGCGCTGTCAGGCCAAACTTCCATCTTCAAAGGCAGACCTAAACAACGATGTTCTAGTATGGAACATCGATGTAGAGACCTGACCGTTGGAAGGAATTTAAGGCTAAAACTTTCCTTGTTTGGAAGTCAACAGCCAAAACAGCGATGTAGGGATTTTAGACATCGCTGTTGGCATGACCGTTGCTTCCCATTTTTCAAAACGCAAGCCTAGAACAGCGATGTCCAAGCCTAGGACAGCGCTGTCTGGGTGAATTTCAACAGATCAAATTTTCATCAAATCCCACAAATTGTGCCAACGTTACCAGGCTACCGTGTACACGGCACCAGGGTACCGCCGGTAGCCAAGTGAACGTATCGCTGTACGTTTCACCCAAGTGTTACATAGTACCCCCCTACCGTGTAATGGTACCTGGGTACCGACGGTAGGCATAGACGGTTGGCCCAACCCGTCCTAAACAGGTACCGCCAGAGGCGAACCAAACTTTAGGCATACACGGTACCCCCAAACGGTAGGCTATACCGTGGGTCACGGTACCTAGGTACCGGATGGTATTGACCCTACCGTGAAGGGTACCAGATCCGTTGTAATCCCTGTAGCAAATTGCTAATTTAAATTCAAAGGCATTTAACGTTAAAAACTCAAATTTTACCATTCCAAACTCCTATATAAACCCCCTCTAAGTCTCATTTTATTCACAACAACTTTCCAATTAAATCTAAAGCCTCTTTCTCTAATCTTGAGTGTTCCAAAAGCTTTGTTCTTGTTTTTCATACTCTTTTGACTATAAAGCTTTCATTATTTTTATACACTCACACACAAGGGCATTTGTGCTTCATTATTTTATATCTTGCCTATAGGCTTTTGTTCTTGTTGATTTAATCTTTTGTTCTTCTCCTACCCAATTCATATTTGTTATCATTTTGGTAGAGAAGCAACACCAATCTTTTATTGATTTGTATAAGGTGTGGATAGCCTTTAAATCCTCATTGTAAGGTTGAAGATAGCCTTAAAATCTTCGGTTGTAAACGGTTGAGATAGCCGTAGTAAAATCTCATTTGCTTATTGGCAAGGGTTGTTTGCCAAACCTCGTTTGAGTCTTCTTAGTGAAGCCAAACAAGTTAGTGGAGGTTAAATCCTTGAGGAGGAGCCTCGAGGTACTGGAGTAGAGAATTCCCGAACCAGTATAAAATCGCTTGTGTCGTATTTTTATCTTTTATACTTTTCTTGCTCCTTTTCCGCTACTACTTTGCGCATAAGTTTCTGTTTTTACGAAAAACTTGCAAACACCCTAATTCACCCCCCTCTTAGGGTGTAAACCGACTTTCAATTGGTATCGGAGCAGGAAGTTTGATCCTTTCACACTCATCTATTATTTCTTTTTACGACACATGGATTCAATGAACTCCCAAAGAATTATCAAGCCACCATTCTTCAATGGGGATAACTATGGCTATTGGAAAATTCGAATGGAGAATTTCATTCAATCTATTGACTATGATTTATGGATAGTCACTACTCATGGTCCGTTTGTTCCTATGAGAAATGTAGGTGAACACCAAGTGCCTACGCCAATGGACAAGCTCACAACCGACGATAAGAAAAAACTCTCTTTGAATGCCAAAGCATTAAATGTGTTGTTTTGTGCATTGGGTCAAGATGAGTTTTCTAGGGTGAGCTCTTGCAAATCTGCAAAGGAAGCATGGAAGCTCCTAGAAGCCACCCATGAAGGAGATAAAGACACAAAAGCTACCAAGATAGCTTTAGGAACATCCGAGTATGAAAACTTCAAGATGAAGGCCGGAGAATCCGTTCAAGATATGAACAAACGATTCAACCTCATTGTCAACAATTTGAGTAAGCTAAATAACGTTTATCCTACTAGTGAGATTAACACAAAGATTATGTTCTCTCTTCCTAGAGCGTAGCATAGTCTTGTTGTAAATTTGTTGCCCAAATGTGCGGATGTTGAAACCTCCCCCATTTGGAGCAGCCTATACTCTCATGAGCTTCTTTTGAAGAAAATGAAGGAAGAAGAACAGGTTCCTATCATCAAGAAGACCATGGCACTCAAAATTGATGACCATCCGGAGAGCGAAGGAGAAAGTGATGAGGAGCTTGCCATGTTTAAGAGATACAAGAAGTTTATGAAATGGAACAAGGGTGAATCCTCAAAAAGATTTCCATCAAAGAAAGGTAAACCTAATCAAATAACTTGCTATGAATGTGGAAATGTAGGTCATATCAAACCGGAGTGCCCAA